TTCACAAATAGGTCATTTATTTTACCTTTTCCGACGACAGAACTCTCGGACTTATAAAATCACTGTGAATATTAAGATGAAATCAATCAAATGGTTTTAGGTAAATTTGATAAGCCAATGTGTTTCAAATACAGTTAAGCAGCATGTTAAAAATTGCCTTTTTTTCTATAAATATGTGCGAAATAGAACCCTAGAAAGCCGACACAAAAAACACATACGAGGTTATGATATTCGGCAAGCTTAGCCATGGTGGTGCTCTCCCCACCGGGAATAATAAGCGCCGTCACGCTCTGCAGCTGCTCCGGCTTCCTTATCTCCACCCCCTTCACCCCCACCCTTTTCAACGCTGCAACACCAATCCACACACACACACACATTAATCGATTACATATATATATATATATATATATATATATATATATATATATAATTGAAGGTATGGGGGTAGTGGAGTATAGATTGAATACCTGCAATGTGTTCGTTGAAAGAGCCCTGTAAAGCAAGAACACCCACCGCCATTGTTGCCGGCCGCGCAATTAGGGTACAACCCGCCAAAGCACAAAGTACCACTCCGGGGGAGGAAGTGAGAATCAGAGAATCGTGTCAGACTCTGCTTCACGGAATTGGAATGATTGGGATAAAATGGGAGTCAAAATTTTGCCCTTTTTAATTCCAGGTGCGCCGCCATGAACGAACGGCTGGCTTACAAAATGGACTCAGGCCCAATTAAACTTTTTTATTTATTGGGCTTTAGTCCCTTTTTCAATTTGGGCCGATTTATTATATTATTTTATTTTTGTTTTTGTTTGTCTAAATCCAACTAGATATTGATGTTATGCTTGGTGAAATACATGTGATATTTTGTTATATTTTATTTACAAAAAAACCCTAAAAAGTAGACTAAATTTATCGCAATCGAACTGTCTTCCTCTCATATCAACACAAAAATGTAAAGATTAAAAAATCGACGAACTTAAACATAAGATCTCGTTAACATAACACATGTATCTCAGAATAATAGTATGCGCATCTGCGAATTGTATTGTGTTTCTATCATCGCACCATAAACACAACAATACAGAAGCGACTAACAACGATGAACAACAAAAACGGCCAAAACAAGCTAAGATCATTTCATTCTCGACTAAGATCACCATCAAAATGATTGATAACCAACAACGAAACATCACATGCATGAACTTATATTCCATTTACATAAAATTCGAATCACTTA